CTTAAACTGAAACTTTAGGTTTATTTTGTTTTCCCGTGAACTACCGATAACATTTTGTGCCGCAAGCTCCTCCACATTAGGATTTCCATGGGACCATACAATTTTGGCTTCGATCTCATCAGCCTAATGACATAAGTCATTGACTTTGTGTTTCATCTTATTTTCTTGAGTCTGTAAATTGTCAAATATTCGGCACTTAATGTATTCGTATGAATTCGAATATAGGCATCCCAAAAAATATAATTTGATATAATTTGAAAGAGGGGTACTACAAAATTCCTTGTCGTGACTGCGCTGTAATTTATTGTGGAAAAACAGGAAGGACCGCCTCTACACGCAAACGTGAACATCTATTAGCGGAAAAGAGGCGCGACCACCTGTCCGAAGTCGATATGCATTTGCTTGAAACTGGGCACAAGTTTGCATGGGACAAAACCCACATAGTAGGTTCCCGCCCATATAGGAAAGGCCGCGAATTCTTAGAGGCCAGTTACTCTAACGAATCATGCATTAATGGGCACGTTGATTTGGATTCAATGTTTATCAATCGCAAAAAAGCCTCGAGAAAGCGCGAACCACCAAAACCTGCTAGTGACCAAGGATAAAAAAGCATGATCGATTTTTAAGCATGTTTAAAAAAAGGCGCCCTGTTCTTCACATATTTCCCTCACGTCCGAAGAGGACCTGATGTGTCAGAGTCGAAAAAGTATAATACAGTTTGTTCACGTTTCCAAAAGAATTTTCTATCAAACTAACTGTTTTTTTATTTAGCGGTCCATACAAAGCAGCCTTTTTATGGCACACGGAGAGTCAGGTCTGGCCTTTGTTTCTGAAGGCAACGTTAATATATATGAAATCAAGCCTATTTAATCAGCATCTTTAGTAAATCCTAAGTCATGGTCTGACCAAAAACGTATTGTTCAAGCTGCCTGCACCCTCTATTCTCAACGGAGAGTCCAGTTTGAGAAAGTATTTGGCGCTTTTAAATTACAATCCTACAGGCAAAAAATTTAGGATATTAAAAATCTTGCATAATAGCCAACTTAATATAAAGTCAATATGCGTTTGATCGTCCAAGACAGAAGTATGCTTCGTTTCGAAAATGGTATTCCAAAATCTGCAGCATAGCACGTTCTTCAATCGCCATTAATAAAATAAGGCGCAGAAGCCGCAATTTTCGAAATCATGGGGAAATAACCTTGTACATGTAAAAAAATGTAGGCCAAATTAAACTTCCTTCAAATGATCGCCAGCATCGTGCCCTGCTGACCTCATTGTTATAGTTCATATAAGCGGTAACGGATAAAAGCTCGGTTTCTATGGGGCATGCTGGGCCAGCAAAT